TCGCTGCAACATTCATCACCCACGCTTCACACCCATATAAGAGCGTTGGTAAAACTATACTCTCATACATTCCCCTCTTTGCCTCCAAGGACAAAGTTCTTTGTCTCCACAGACTCCTAAGTGCACCACTCATCTTTTTTTTCCCTCATCAATTCTATGATTTCACCTCATCTTTCATAGACCCATCCGCTGACACGTCCACTCCCAAATATCTGAATACGTTCACCTCCTCCATACTCCCCTCCCTCCAATCTGATATCCAATCTTTCATCACCTAATCTTTTTGTTATCCTCATAACCTTACTCTTTCCTGTATTCACCTTTAATTTTCTTCTTTTGCACACCCTACCAAATTCATCCACCAATCTCTGCAACTTCTCTTCAGATTTCCCAAGAGCACAGTGTCATCAGCAAAGAGCAGCTTGACAACTCCCACTTTGTGTGTGATTCTTTATCTTTTAACTCCACCCTTTTTGCCAAGACCCTCGCATTTACTTCTCTTACAACCCCATCTATAAATATATTAAACAACCACGGTGACATCACACATCCTTGTCTAAGGCCTACTTTTACTGGGAAAAAATTTCCCTCTTTCCTACATACTCTAACTTGAGCCTCACTATCCTCGTAAAAATTCTTCACTGCTTTCAGTAACCTACCTCCTACACCATACACTTGCAACATCTGCCACATTGCCCCCCTATCCACCCTGTCATACGCCTTTTCCAAATCCATAAATGCCACAAAGACCTCTTTAGCCTTATCTAAATACTGTTCACTTATATGTTTCACTGTAAACACCTGGTCCACATACCCCCTACCTTTCCTAAAGCCTCCTTGTTCATCTGCTATCCTATTCTCCGTCTTACTCTTAATTCTTTCAATTATAACTACCATACACTTTACCAGGTATACTCAACAGACTTATCCCCCTATAATTTTTGCACTCTCTTTTGTCCCCTTTGCCTTTATACAAAGGAACTATGCATGCTCTCTGCCAATCCTAGGTACCTTACCCTCTTCCATACATTTATTAAATAATTGCACCAACCACTCCAAAACTATATCCCCACCTGCTTTTAACATTTCTATCTTTATCCCATCAATCCCGGCTGCCTTACCCCCTTTCATTTTACCTACTGCCTCACGAACTTCCCCCACACTCACAACTGGCTCTTCCTCACTCCTACAAGATGTTATTCCTCCTTGCCCTATACACGAAATCACAGCTTCCCTATCTTCATCAACATTTAACAATTCCTCAAAATATTCCCTCCATCTTCCCAATACCTCTAACTCTCCATTTAATAACTCTCCTCTCCTATTTTTAACTGACAAATCCATTTGTTCTCTAGGCTTTCTTAACTTGTTAATCTCACTCCAAAACTTTTTCTTATTTTCAACAAAATTTGTTGATAACATCTCACCCACTCTCTCATTTGCTCTCTTTTTACATTGCTTCACCACTCTCTTAACCTCTCTCTTTTTCTCCATATACTCTTCCCTCCTTGCATCACTTCTACTTTGTAAAAACTTCTCATATGCTAACTTTTTCTCCCTTACTACTCTCTTTACATCATCATTCCACCAGTCGCTCCTCTTCCCTCCTGCACCCACTTTCCTGTAACCACAAACTTCTGCTGAACACTCTAACACTACATTTTTAAACCTACCCCATACCTCTTCGACCCCATTGCCTATGCTCTCATTAGCCCATCTATCCTCCAATAGCTGTTTATATCTTACCCTAACTGCCTCCTCTTTTAGTTTATAAACCTTCACCTCTCTCTTCCCTGATGCTTCTATTCTCCTTGTATCCCATCTACCTTTTACTCTCAGTGTAGCTACAACTAGAAAGTGATCTGATATATCTGTGGCCCCTCTATAAACATGTACATCCTGAAGTCTACTCAACCGTCTTTTATCTACCAATACATAATCCAACAAACTACTGTCATTTCGCCCTACATCATATCTTGTATACTTATTTATCCTCTTTTTCTTAAAATATGTATTACCTATAACTAAACCCCTTTCTATACAAAGTTCAATCAAAGGGCTCCCATTATCATTTACACCTAATAATGTAGATAAATTTGAAAATTCAAAAGTCCTATTGTAAAATGGTTAATTATTTTTTTTATTAACATGTTGGCCATTTTCCACCAAGGCAGGGTGACCTGAGAAAGAAAAAACACTTCCATCATCACTCACTCCATCAATGTCTTGCCAGAGGCGTGCTGACACTACAGTTCAAAACCTGAAGCATATCTCCACCCCTTCTTCAGAGTGCAGGCACTGTACTTCCCATCTCCAGGACTCAAGTCCAGCTAACCAGTTCCCCTGAATCCCTTCATAAATGTTACTTTGCTCACACTCCAACAGCACATCAGGACATAAAAACCATTTATCTCCACACTCTCCTATCTAATATGCTCATGCACGCCTGCAAGAAGTCTATGCCCCTTTGTTACACTCCAAGGGTCGTAACCACTATTTCCTTCTGGTTAGAGCATAACTTTGTCAGAGAGGTTTGGGTAATAATAGTAATCCTCCGGAAATCTAATTTTAATGTAGTATATTTATAATACAACAAATAGCCAAAAATAATAATATACGAATTACCGTATGTAAGTTAAGAATGCTTGTTTGTTCTATATTGTCCAAAATATATAAGGCTTTCATTAACACATGATTAGGAAGAGATCCTAGATATAACATATATGTACAGAGATTACTTTAGAGAATAAAGTCTTATTTCCCAATGGGAAGCAGTCAGAATAAAACAGAATATGTCCAGGCCAGATAATCAACCTTGGCCAGTTACCAGAGACGAGCAGGAGTGTTGTTGTTGGCTGCTACTTCTTCACTGCTCGTCCCTCAACCTTGAGTATACAGGTCAGGTGGGTCACGTGACTCGCCAACACTCAGTAGAATAGTTGACCAAAAAGGGGGGGGAAGGGGGGGTAACCACTGAACACCACAGATTAACCGTACACCAGTACACCGGGCAGAAGGCATGTTACTATACCTTCAATTAAACTTATCATGGCCATGTTTCATAAATAATTATAATAATTGTTAATAAGAATTAGCCTTAATAATACAAGGACATTCATTTCCAATTTAGCTATTAAAGGAAATAACCGCAATGTAATATTAAAGAAAGGTTAACCATAGGAGCATGACACCCTTGCACACAAAAACCACCTTAACCCCCTTCCTCCAACCCCTCCTATGACAATCCCTTCCCTGCCTTCCTCCCACCTCAGATTTATACACCCTTCGAGTCATTCCATATTGTTCCATCTTCTCTAAGTGTCTGAACCATCTCAACAACTCCTCCTCAGCCCTCTGGATAATACTTTTAGAAACCCTGCACCTCCTAATCTCAAAGCTCCAGATTCTCTGCATAATATTCACACCACACATTGTCTTCAGACATGACATCTCCACTGCTTCCGTCATTCTCTTTATTGCAACATTCACCACCCATGCCTCACACCATATAGTAGGAGCTTTGGTATTGCTACACTTTTATACATTCCCCTCTTTGCTCCCATGGAAAATGTTCTTTGTCTCCACAGACTCCTCAGTGCACCACTCATCTTTTTTTTACCTTGTCAGTTCTGTGGTTTATTTATTTAATCTGTACAAATAATGTCATTTAAATGTGGTAATATAATAATAGACATAAAGAAAGTCACTAATTATACAGTGGAACCTCAAATTTCGAACTTAATCCGTTCCAGGAGCTAGTTCTAAATTCGAAAAGTTGAAAAGCGAAGCAATATTTCCCATAAGAAATAATGGAAATACAATTAATCCATTCCAGAAACCCAAAAATATTCACAAAAGAAAAAAATACATTTTATAGAGATTAATTTTAGTTTTACATACACACAACAAATATAGCATACAATTATGTATTAATAAATTTAAATAAACATATAAATAACATTTTTACTTACCTTTATTGAAGATTGGTGATGGCATCTAGAAGATAGGGAGGAGGAGAGAGGGAGTTGGGGTTAGCATTTGGAAGGGGAATCCCCTTCTACTTCCTTGCCTTTTCACAAATAATCGTCTCTGAAACACTATCAGCTGCCATCTCTTTATCCTTGATCCACACCAGCAACAACTTCTCAACCTGATCGATTGTCTGTGGTCTTATTTTAGTTAGCATATTAACACCTTTCACATTATCAACTTCCTTGATTTGTTCTTTCTTTGACAGGATAGAACCAATGGTTGACTTGTTTTTCCCATACATCCTGGCAAGCTCAACAAGTTTCACACCACTCTCATACTTCTTTATTATTTCCTTCTTCACATCTATGGTGTTTCCCATTTTCTTTACCACAGGTATACCACTAGCAAGTTTCTTTGGGCCCATGGTAGCTTATTTAACAGTCCCACAAGCACTAAACACAATGAATTAGTCGTAAAATGTTTGAATGAGACCGCAGGTTAGTGTTCACTCAAACATCAGCAAAGCCAGACTGGGTCAAGGCACCTGCGTGGGGACGCGGACAGAGCGGGCTGGCAGACAGGTCCAGTACCCGGCAGTTCGAAAATAGGGGCGAGTTCAATAATAGGGACAAAGTTGGTTCGAAAAAAGTGGTCGATTTTCAAAGAGTTCGATAAGTGATACATTCGAATTTTGAGGTTCCACTGTATAATGTATTTCAGGCAAAAGAAAATTTATTGGCATCATCAAAAGGATGAACAAGAGGCCAAAATTTTATAGAGAAAAAAGTAAATCCCTAAGTACGTGGACTAAATTTTTTTATGTACAAGTGGTAGATTAATTGTATAAGAAATATGTTTAACTTGGTAAACACTGAAGATGGGACATGAGGAGCATAGCTTAACTACTGATACTTCAAATAGGTAATCACAAATGACTTCATGTACTCCTGCTTTTACCTCCTTTGCTCTGTGCATGTGTGTTTTAACCATAGTCTTGGTAGTAATGAAATTTTATTTCTCAATTGCAGAGTGAGTTAAATGAGCTCCGTCAGCAGATTCTTAGTCTGCTTGAGCATCCTGCTGATGTTACGCAGATTGTTAACAAATTATCTTTTGCTCAGTGCATTTACGTTCTTTCTGTTTATCGTGTTGAAGCCCTCAGGTTAGTATATTTCAGAGAGCTATTAAATCAGCATTTGACATTACTATTTTGTTTTTTTCTGGCAAGAGCTATAGTTTTAACTAAAATTCATCTCTTAAGTCATTAAAAAGTAGAAAAGCACATTAATTTTTGTCACCAGTGACAGTAATTTCATAGTAATGCTGTATTTTTTCTTAAGGTTTTAAAAGTCAGTATTGTAATATAGAAGAAATAAGGATTAATATTGGCAAGGCTGGTGCTTTATCAAGGAAAGGAAACCAGAGTAAATAATACATATTTTATGAAACAGAGGGTAAATAAATATACAATGTATGATATAGCATGTAATGAAAGTAGTTTGTTAGGTTATGTATTGGTGGATAAAAGGTTGATGGGTAGGCTCCAGGATGTACACGTTTATAGAGGGGCAATTGATATATCGGATCATTATTTAGTTGTAGCTACAGTTAGAGTAAGAGGTAGATAGGAAAAGAGGAAGGTGGCAACAACAAGTAAGAGGGAGGTGAAAGTGTATAAACTAAGGGAGGAGGAAGTTCGGGTGAGATATAAGCAACTATTGGCAGAAAGGTGGGCTGGTGCAAGTATGAGTAGTGAAGGAGTTGAAGAGCGTTGGAATAGTTTTAAAAATGGAGTACAGTGTATTAGAATGTGGGGCAGAAGTTTGTGGTTATAGGAGGGTGGGTGCAGGAGGAAAGAGGGGTGATTGGTGGAATGATGAAGTAAAGGGTGTGATAAAAAAGAGGTAGCTTATGAGAGGTTTTTACAAAGCAGAAGTAGTATTATAAGAAGACCTGAGTATATGGAGGTAAAAGAAAGGTGAAAAGAGTGGTGAGAGAGTGCAAAAGGAGAGCAGATGATAGAGTGGGAGAGGCACTGTCAAGAAATTTTAACGAAAATAAAAAAATTTGGAGTGAATTAAATAAGTTAAGAAAGCCTAGGGAATGACTGGATTTGTCAGGTAAAAACAGAGTAGGGGAGTTAGTAGATGGGGAGATGGAGGTATTGGGTAGATGGCGGGAATATTTTGAGAAACTTAAATATCGACGAAGAAAGGGAGGCGGTAATTTCATGCACTGGCCAAGGAGGTATACCATCCTTTAGGAGTGAAGAAAAGCAAGATGTGAGTGTGGGGGAGGTGCATGAGGCATTAGGTAGAATGAAGAAAAATTGCAGAGGTTAGTGGACGAATTTGGGAGTGTGTGTAAAGGTAGAAAGTTGAAAGTGAACATAGAAAGGAGTGAGGTGATGAGGGTATCAAATGATTTTGATAAAGAAAAATTGGATATCAAATTGGGGAAGAGGAGTATGGAAGAAGTGAATGTATTCAGATATTTGGGAGTTGACGTATCAGCGGATGGATTTATGAAGGATGAGGTTAATCATAGAATTGATGAGGGAAAAAAGGTGAGTGATGCGTTGAGGTATATGTGGAGGCAAAGAAGGGAATGTATGAAAGTATAGTGGTACCAACACTCTTAAATGGGTGTGAAGCTTGGGTTGTAAATGCTACAGCGAGGAGGCGGTTGGAGGCAGTGGAGATGTCCTGTCTAAGGGCAATGTGTGGTGTAAATATTATGCAGAAAATTCAGAGTGTGGAAATTAGGAGAAAGTGTGGGGCTAATAAAAGTATTAGTCAGAGGGCTGAAGAGGGGTTGTTGAGGTGGTTTGGTCATTTAGAGAGAATGGATCAAAGTAGAATGACATGGATAGCGTATAAACCTGTAGGGGAATGGAAGGCGGAGTAGGGGTCATCCTCGAAAAGGTTGGAGGGAGGGGGTAAGATAAGATAAGATTTCATTCGGATTTTTAACCCCGGAGGGTTAGCCACCCAGGATAACCCAAGAAAGTCAGTGCGTCATCGAGGACTGTCTAACTTATTTCCATTGGGGTCCTTAATCTTGTCCCCCAGGATGCGACCCACACCAGTCGACTAACACCCAGGTACCTATTTGCTGCTAGGTGAACAGGACAACAGGTGTAAGGAAACGTGTCGGAATGTTTCCACCCGCCGGGAATCGAACCCGGGCCCTCCGTGTGTGAAGCGGGAGCTGTAGCCACCAGGCCACCGGGCCACCGGCCCGGTAAAGGAGGTTATGTGTGCGAGGGGCTTGGACTTACAGCAAGCATGCCTGAGCGTGTTAGATAGGAGTGAATGGAGACAATTGATATTTGGGACCTGACGATCTGTTGGAGTGCAAGCAGGGTAATATTTAGTGAAGGGGTTCAGAGAAACCGGTTATTTTTATTTAGCGGGACTTGAGTCCTGGAAATGGGAAATACAGTGCCTGCACTTTAAGGGAGGGGTTTGGGATATTGGCAGTTTGGAGGGATATGTTGCGTATCTTTATACGTATATGCTTCTAAACTGTTGTATTCTGAGCACCTCTGCAAAAACAGTGATTATGTGTGAGTGAGGTGAAAGTGTTGAATAATGATGAAAGTATTTTCTTTTGGGGGATTTTGTTTCTTTCTGGGTCACCCTGCCTTGGTGGGAGACAGCCGACTTGTTAAAAAAAAAAAATTAATGCATAGAACAAAAAAAGTATTTTCCATGTCTCTGGTGCCATTGTGTTCAACCTCTGAAAGTTTTAGTTTGTTACTGATAATGCCTTCCAAACCTACAGTATTTCAGTAAGACCATAATTTATCTGAACTCAGTTAATATTTGTTGAAATTTAATTTGTTGAAAACACTCAAAAAGATCTGTGTTCAGATGCTCTGGTGTCTATGAAAGTCTGAATTTTGGTGAGGTTACTGTCAAAGTTTGATGCTTTCTACACCATCATGTTTTGCACTAGGTCAAGTTATTTCTTAATATGAAGGTGAGGATATTTTCCAATCTGATTGGTTTCACCTTTGGCTAGCAATACCCTTTCATTGTCAAGGGACCATAAATTAAATGTCACATTTGTGTCACAGTTAAAAGAAAAATCCTCTGAAAATGAAGAGCTTAAATTTCTGAAGGTAATAAATTAAATACGGGAGCAAGGGGCTAGTAACCCCTTCTCCTGTATAAATTACTAAATTTAACCCTTAAACGGTCCAAAGAGATCGACGTTCAAATTCGTAGTGCTACAAAAGTAGATCTCCTTTTTTTTACATATTTTCAAATATAACAAAAAAAAATGTAGATAAAAGTTTTTTTTACACATTTTCAAATGTAAAACAAAAAAGAAGATCAACATTTTTTTACATACTTTCAGATGTTGAAAAAATGTATATATACGTTTGGACCATTTAAGGGTTAAAAAGAGAAACTTTTGTTTTTCTTTTTGGGCCACCCCGCCTCGGTGGGATATGGCCGGTTTGTTGAAAGAAGAAGAAAGATAAATAAAATTGAAAATGGGTCAGCACTTACTGAGATATGAATACATAAAATTGAAGTCCACTGATCCCACGATGGGATCTTCAGTTGTCACATGCTGCATATTAAAATAAGTTTTTCTGCATTTTTAGTTTTTTGTCAGTTTGATGGCACTAATGTTGACTAAGAGATCCCTTTTATGTCCACTGTCTTTGCTTGAGCTTTATTATACAGTGGTCCCTCGTTTTTCGTAATTAATCCATTCCTGGAGCCGTTACTATAAACGAAATTTACGATTTGCGAATCAATTTTCCCCATAAGAAATAATGTAAATACAATTAATCCGTTCCTGACACCCAGAAGTATTAAAACAAAAAAATTTTTTACATGAAATATACATACAGTACATAAACAATACAATGTGAAATGATGAATGAAACATTAACAGCATAACACTTACCTTTATTGGAGATTCTTCTTAGTGTATGGGAGACTGGAGGAGGAGAGAGAGTGGATTGTTTACAGTTTGGAAGGGGAATCCCCTTCCATCAACACCTCAGGTACCATTTGCTTTTCTGGGGTTGCTTCTCTTCTCTATTTCTTAATGCCACTAGGACCACCTTGAGAGTCACTCTAGTCCTGTCTCGCAAAGTAACTGTGGAGAGAGCTCTGTTCCTGGCATCTCTTTAACACTTCCCGAAAATGGCCCAAGACTTTGTCACTGTGCATATTTCTCACCTTTACCACAGGCTTGGCACTAGGAGCTTTCTTTGGAGCCATGGTAGCTTATTTAGTAATTGCAAGCACTAAAATGAATGGAATATTATGAAATATTTCGTAGGAGCACTTGAGGGGACCTTCACTCTCTGGTAAACAATGCCAGACTGGCTGGGTAGGGAGGCCGCCCCGGCTCACACCGTGCGTACACGTCCCGGACGAACTACTATTCGCGAGTCAACCTATGAAAAGCGAGTCCATGTTTATACGAAAATACCCCTATGATTGGCGAAATTTACGATTGCCGAGAACTACGAAAAGCGAGGGACCACTGTATGTCAAAGTAGTCACACTAAAAGTGTCACCCTTTCAGGGTTTCCTACATACTAGTACAGCTTGCGTGCCAGGGTTATTGACGTACTAGTACACGTGAATTCTAGCACCTTCAATTCAAGTGGGAAAAGGCTGGTAGGCCTAGATGTGAGAGAATGGGTGTGCGTGGTCGGTGTGTGCGGTAGAAACAAATCTGGGACCCAGTGGTGCATTGTGGGAACGCCATTTTAGTACACCTTGTTCACCATGCCTCGCAGTAAGAAACTCCTCACTCCTCGGCGAATTGGGATACTTTTGTTCCCCAGTGACAGTTCTAATACAGATGGAAGTGCCAGTGAAGATGAGTTTCAAGGTTTTGATGAGGTTGTGACTGAAACTAATGACCATAATACTAGTAATAGTGAGGAAATCTCAGATGACCCTCAGCCTGCCACCTCTGCTGCTGGGCTGTCTTGTTCATGTTCAGTTGTACCAGAACGAAAGAGGAAACTCCTATTTTCCCATATCCCGGACTCAGATGTGAGCATTGTTGATGATAGTGATAGTGAATATGAACTACAAGCTCTTGAAAACAGTTCCAGTAGCAATAGTGAAGTGGAATATTCTCCAGTGAAGTGTCAGTATATATGACGGTATATGTGCTCTG